AAGAATTAATGTAATTTAAAATTATAATTATTTATTAAGTTATTGTTATGTGTACGGAGTCGAAGCATCTCAAGCATGAGGAATGTTAACGCGTAAACGCTGGCCATGGACGCTCCTCACAGAAGAGCTAGTGCCTATGCGCCGACCTTTGGCGCATATGCGCCCACTTTAAGTTGGCGCTGATAGAGAAGGGAGCGCCTATTCGCCCGGACGCATAGGGGCCTAATACTGGGCGCTGATACAGAGAGGCCGATGCCTATGCGCCAAGTCCGGGCGCATTGGCTCCAAGAGCACTTTTTGATAGAATTTGGTGTTTAATCCCGGTTTCAAGTGGCGTTAACATTAGGGCTTAGGGTTTCTTCCTTCGGCCTTTTTCGACGAGCATTCCGGTGAATGTGAGAAGTGTCCGTGTGGTGGATTGGTGATTCGGCATGATTTTTGCGTCGGATCGAAGAGAGAAGATTGTGGAGCGAGTCCCGTAAGTTTCATTATGTTGAGAGGAAACTGTTGTGAGTTCTTTGTAAAAAATTTCTGAATTTGATAATGGAATTTATCACGGTGTGGCTTCATGGTTTTTCTAGTTCTCGATTTTTTTCAAGTAAATTCTAGTGTACTTTTCTGGTTGCATTGATTGTGCTTTTGTTCATAATTTTATTCCGGTTTTCTCAAATCTTGTATGATCCAGTCATTCTACCGTGTATTTTAGTTTCGAATTGATCATGCTCCCCGATAAAGTTGGGAACAGTTCTTTGGGATTACCATAAGTTATTGTATAACTTCACATGCTTAAATTCTTATTATAGAAAAAGTTCTCTTAAATTGAATGGCTGACATAAGGGCTTTTGTATGCAGGAAAAAAGCAATTAAAAATAAGTACCAAGGAGATATATTTTGCTTTAAATTTCTCTCTTAAAACTGCCTGTATGCAACTTGATTTAAATATGCGAGTTGAATGTGAATTATAACATCAATGTTTGGTGGCTTTTCATTGTTAGGATGATATCTTAGATTGTTCTACTTATTACAATAGTATGCCTCTGCCATTCGAGTTTTTATTCTTGAAGCCAGGTGGTAAATATCTATTGTCCTTTCAAGTTCACCCTACTTATAATGTGCCCGCAACTATAACATGAGGATTACATGCATGAAATCTGGATATTTTAAACTGTTTTCCCATATTCCAACTTAAAAACTGGAATGCGCAAATAAAAACAATTTCCTTTCTGAAAAAGCTTGGGAAACTATACCAATTTTAAGAACAATATACTATTTTCTGTCATGTGATTTCCTTCTCAATGTTTGGCTTTGCATTTTGCTAGCGCATGGGTGAACCAAAGGGGTGACAGAAGCTAATTACACATAAATTCATTTTCAAACCAAAATCTTAAACTTATGACTGAAGAGAACGAAAGGAACGAGAAGGATTAGGTGCGAATGCCAGACTTCATTTCCAAATACACCACGTTCTGCGGAGCTAGAGAACTGAGTTGTTTCATTATGGATAAGATGTATTGATAAGTGCAATGAAATGAATTACTTAGAATTTCAGACAAAAGAAAGAATAAACGACTTAAATTTACAATCAAGGAAGAAAGGTCTGTAGAAAAAAAAATATATAGTAAAATAATTAGCCCCAATCATGTGGACAATCTCATATCTCATTTCTGTGTTTTCAAGGTGAAGAGACAATGCCTTACAAATGTCGTCCTACTGAGATTGAATGAAACTTGACATGCAATGAACCAAGTATGGACCTTGAATAAGCAAAGCACATACGTGAGTGGTATATATACACATGTATATATATATATAGAGAGAGAGAGAGAGAGAGTAAGAGAGAGAGAGAGATGTGTGTGTGCGTGTGTGCCACGTATCCCGTTCTGGTGGTTGGCATCCACGGTATCAAACCACTCAGTTAGTGGATTCAAATCCTATCTAACACAATTGGCCTTAAGGAAGTGGTACTCAAATTGTTAGACACATTAAAAGTGACTGGAGACTCATATAATAGTCTCTTACCATTCTTTCTTAACTATATATTTGTATGTATGCATCGACCTGATAATCTTCATAAGAAGCTAATCATATGAAGAATCACACGAAATAAAAGTATGATTGGGTTACTATCATATAAAAGAATAATAATGCATATGTGTATGCAACACAAGGAAGCAAATTTGATTTGTTAAAATAAAAAAAAATATATATTTAGCCATGTGGGTATTCATTATTGGACAATACAAGAATTGAAAGAATTTACCAATATAAGGACCCGTTATGTATTATATGGGCCAGGCCCAAGCACTTGAAATATTGGTGGCATCAAGAATGTATCGTCAAATAAGGATGGATAGACTACAAAGTAACTATATGCAAGTATGGATGTAATACTATGAAAGATTAAATTGGCCACGTTTGGTGAAAATAAAAGACGTAAAAAAAAGATTAGGGCGATAAAATATTTGTGCAAGGAGTGAAAATGAAAATGGCCTGACCAAAAGATAATACAGCAACAACTTTCAAAAACTACAGTGACGATGAAGATGAGTGGCTCATAGCTAACATCTAAGCATTATTACATAAAGCCATCATAAGAGGCTAAAATGGTTAGAAATATTATAACAATTCCTTGAAGGGGAATCCCAATGAGCTATTATTTAAACTTGATGATGTCGGAGTTAACCCAAAGCACAATAGGGGAAACAAATATTATTAATAATAAAGTCAATAGGTAATTATAACTAACACACTTGACAAGAAAATAACAAACAGGCTCAACAATCCAAAGCAATTTAAGGTGGATCTCAGGGTGATGGTGATGATCGGTTTAATTTCATTAAAATTCAAGACAAAAAGTAATACGTGGCTTGAAGTCCAAATTAAGAGAGAAAAACATCATTTAGCATATAATTGTTATTAGAATACAAAGTATACTACAACATCCACTTCAAAAAGATTTGTAGCATATTGGCTTTTCATTTATACTCATCAACTATGACTGGGCCAAAGTAGAGAAATACAAATGTTAACTAAATTTTGCAAAAGACTTTGTTATTTTGTGTACTATTTGTAGAACATTGTAGCTTTATAAGGCCCCACAATTTTATGAGGTCCAGATAACAAGTACGTGGCAGATATCGACGTCGCGCGGTTGTCCTGGAAGATGGCAGCGAAGAAGGAAGGCTAGAACAACAACGATAACAAAAATGGAGGTCGGAACAACGATGACAGTGGGAATAAAAGACTAGAACAAAAATGAGAGCACGTGGGAGGGGTCAAGACAGTGGCTAGGTGTTAGTGATGTGGTATGGAATGGCTGTAACAACACTGAGGGGTGCTTTTCATGGTCCGAACAACAACGAGGTGGTAAGGGACTTGGATATGGGCAGCTGGAATAGCAGGTAAGAGGCTATGAAGGTGGTTTGAAAGCAGAAACTGTAGAAAACAGCCAAAAGATGTTGTCCTGGGCTGCTGCAACAAAAAGAAGGGGCAGTCAGGAGTCGATGTGGGAGTGTGTGAAAAAGGATAGAGGAAGATAACCACCACCTCAAGGGAGAGATACAACTGGAGAACTACCCAATCCCTCGAATGCAACTCTCGGAGAGAGACATGGACGTCGACGGCTGTCCTTAAAAAACTCATGCCAAAAACTAAACCTACAACATCATGAATACAAATATATAATAAGAGGATAACTAGGAGTGGCCCAGTAGGATCAGTTGACTCCTCCGAAGAGAGAAACCACAAACATGTTCGTTCCAAGTGAAAGTATCAGTCACGTACAAACAATCGAGTGTGGGGTTTGTCGTGCCCGCATTGAGCTTGGAGTCTCTGCGTCTGTCTCCCAAGGACGGGGGAGCAACGGTCCCTTCATAGTAGTCAGGTCAGCTTCACTTGAAGTATAAGGAATGGCATAATCTCTTAACAAGTCAATCCAGTAGGCACTGACATTTCACAACACTTCTTGATAGAATAAATATGCATCCTCTTTTGACACATTCTGAGGTAGAACTACATATAGATATAGCTTTGGTAATGTAACTCTAGAGTCCTTAAGTCTGAAAATTTTATCTTCCACTTCTCACACTTAGCGGAATATAACTGATAAACAAGTATGTAAGAAGAAATCAACTCTATGATGAAATTTGTGGCAGGTTGTGACACTCTCACTAGCAACCACTTAGTAGAGACTTTTTCTTCTTCACTGATAGGTAGGGGTGTAAACGAGTCGAACACGAGCAAGCCCAGGCTAGCTCGTGCTCAGCTTGTTTGTATTTCGAGCTCAAAAAGTGTGTTTGTGTTCGGCTCATTTGTTTAGCGAGCCGAACATGAGCCGTTCATAAACGAAGAGTCGTTTTGACAACCCTTATCACATCGCCAGAAAATGGGTTCGTGTTCGACTCATTTACTTAGCAAGCAGAACACGAACTGTTCACGAACAAAGAATCATTTTGACAATTCCAATCACATAGCCCACAAGATGTTAAGCGTTGGGAAAAGATTTGATCCCACTGTGGCGCGGTGGCTTTGAGACACATGACACAGACACCCAATCATAGGTGACCGAGCGCAAGGGGAAGCGGTATTTGGGGCCCACCAGACTCAAATAATGTTTCTTTTTTTTAATATATATATATAATTGATGAGCAGTATTTCGAGCCAAAACAAGCTAAACACGAACGAACAAATCTTAGTTCGTGTTCGGCTCGTTAACTTAGCAAACAAGCCAAATACGAGCTTCTTAATGAGTCAAACACGACCTGTTCGTGAACAACGAGCCGTTTTGACACCCCTACTGATAGGATCTAGATCTTATTGAAGAATTTTTTCTCTCGTCAAGCTTCTAAAACAATTATCAAAGTTGTTGTTCATCCTACATATCTAGACATCCAATGGCGAGTACATTACTATACTGAATCCAATATTTGAATAACTATCAATAATCATCCAGATGTGACACATGGCAAAAAGGTCTCATCTCAAACATATAGAACCTCTCTCAACAAGGGAAACTCAAGAAATAGTCTATATATCTGATAAGTTTTAATTTTTTTTTTTTTTTGGGATTGTCGTGTGTATGATATCGACTCCCATACTCATGGCATTTTTGGACATCCAATGTAAGTCCTGCTGGTGTTCCTCCGACGCCTGCAAAAATGTAGTCCGAGGCACCAAAGCCTCATACCCTGCATGATTGTTCATTTCTCTGAATTTACTACCTTCTAGAGCCGCTACTATTAACTCGGCTGGAGTTATCACTTTTAGGTTCATAGGAATCACTGTCGTGTCTTCCTTGTCAGGTGGAAGTTGAGAAGACTCTTTGGAAACTTCATCTTCTCTTGGATCATTGTTTATCTCTTCAACTGCTCCTAGGTTGTTGAAAGAGATCATTTTGTTGGTTGTACAATCTAATTCAATATATTTAAATCCATAGCACTTGAAACACTTCCTGACTATGATGGATTTAGGGTTGTGGATTTGTTCTAACTACTTTCCACTCTGACTTAGTGCTCCCTTTGACGGGTTTGGCTTGGATGTTTCTCTGAGTGTACTTTTGTTGTAAGTCCCCAATGAACTCTGCTTGTAAGATGTGGTGGTCATCTGATAATATTATCTCTCTACTTTTGAACCCAACATTTGTACATGTGGTCCATAGTGAATTGTTAGGTATTGGCGCTGCATCACCTGTTTCATCTCAAAAAAGATAATGATCTTGTTCTTTCCTTTACACTAGCATAGGTACTTCAAATTTCTAACTAAAATAATGCATTATTCCTTAACTTGTTGGTGACTAGTTTCACAATTCCATCTAATGAGACATCTTGACACTCAAAGACACATTCCAAAGTCCAGAGTCTCTTAACTCAAAATATGATAAATTCATTTTTTACTTCAAAATTATGGCTTCTTAGATTTTCGAGCTGTATCTTCGAGATAGAGGTTCTTCATCCCTAGAATCCACATGGTGGAAAAGATTCACTGTATTCTTTCGATCTAGCAATTCGCCGTTGTGGCTACAGGTGACCCATCCATATTGCATCCTCTAGAAGGTGGCAAGCCTCTGTTGTAGTTGTTGAGTTTCCCACTGCATATCCTCAATAGAAATCCCCTGGACACCTTTTTATGAATTTCTCATAAATGTTATTGCATCTATTTCCCTCGATCAGACTTCTGTCAATTATCTTCATGGTGACATGGCTAGGTTTTAGGTGTGGGTAGGTGGAAGAAAGTGTGTAAGGGTGATGTAAGGTGAGAAAGAAAATTTTCAGGTTGAGGTAGGTAAGGGTATGACAGATGCTAAAACCCCAGGATAAGACTAGGATTATGCTAGCTCTAATAATAAATGATACCGAGTTCAACCAAACCAAAATAGGGAAAACAAATATTATTAGCAATAATATCAGTAGGTGATTACAACTGATACACTTGAAAAAAAAAATACAACAGACTCAATAGTCCAATGCAAATTAGGGTGGATCTCGGGGTGGTGGTGGTGGTGGTGGTGGTGGGCAGTGAGGGGTGGAAGGGTGTGGAATTTTGGGCGAGGTGGTTAGCAAGTTGAAAAAAAAAAACAAGGAAACAGTCTTTGGGTTATAGACAACAACTATACGGCAGATATCCACGCCACACAGCTGTCTGAGATGATGGTAGCAAAGAGGGCGAGCTAGAACAATAGTGGCAACAAAGATAGAGGGTTGTAACAGTGATGACATCAGGTATGAAGAACTAGAACACAGATGGCAGCATGCGGGAGGAGCTGGGACAGTGGCTAGGTGGTGGCAAAGTGGTTAGGAATTGCTAAAACAACAGTCAAGGCTGTAGAGAGGCGTTTCTCGTGGTCGAAACAACAACGAGGCAGGAAAGGAACTGGATATGGGTGACTATAACAACAAGCAAGTAGCAAGGAATGCGGCTGGAAGGCAGAAACTACATAAAATAGCCAAAAGGGGTTGTTTCGAGTGGCTGCAGCATGGAAGCGGTGGCCGAGAGCAATGTAAGAGGATGTGGAAGAGGATAGAGGAAAATAATCATCATCTAAGGAGAGAGATGTGTCCACAGCACCACCCAATCCCTCAGATACAGTCCTCGACGAGAGAAATGGATGTCGACAATTGTCCTAAAGAAACTCAAGCAAAAATTAAACACAAAATATCATGAATACAAATGTATAATAAAATGATAATTAGGAGTGTGGCCCAAAAGGACCAGTCGACTCCTCATGGGGAAAAGGTTGTGCTTGGCACTTGTCACACCCATATGCACCTGGAGGCGTGGGCACCCTCGCGTCGGGCATGGCGCCCCCGTATCATTTGAGGTACCTCAATGCCAATTTCTGACTGAGATTGATTTTCCTTCTTTCAGATTTGACTTTCCATCTTTCATACTTGGGGATTTGGCAGCTGTGATTGTTGTGTGAGTTCCCTCCATTTGTAGATGGCTGCAGCAGAGGTTAAAGGCAATCAAGGTGGATTGATAGACCCGTAAACGAGCTATAGGTAGCAGTTGGGACTGCTTTGAGAGGGAATCATGGTTGGCGTCTGCAGGGAAGGGAAAAAAAAGAAGAAGAAAGGATTTTAGCATAACTGAAACTAAATTTTATTGTAGACTTTGACATATATATGAAGAACCATATCAGGAAATAATTTAAAACAATCATTGTCCTAAAGTTGACAAATTAGGAATAGTCATATCCTTAACTCTTCAATTTAGGACAGCAATATTCTTGCAAACTAACTCTGCAATAGAAAAAAATTTAAACTTTCATATTATCTAAACCAATTTCCAATTTCAACTTGATTATGTTGTCTTCTAGATTGTCATCTCATTGTTCAGATTCCTATCACTCGATCATGATCTCTGGGCATTTGATATATGCCATCATCATCTATGAATTCATGTTGATTTGACCTTCAATCTCAAATAGTGCGATAAGCAAATCAACATGATCTAATCTCCATCAAGAAATCAAGCAAGTTAGAATTAATTGATCTATTCCTTCATATTCCGATGGCCGAATTGTAAAAAAAGAATTTTCACAATCGAATCAGCCAACTATTTATGATCTAATCCTAGGATAAAAAAATGGGATTCAAAAAGTTGAAACCCATATTTATTGCAAAAATAAAACTTTTATGATAAGGCAATGGCTAAGAAGAAAGATGGAACAACTTTAATTTGACGAAAGAGGAATTTTATTCCTTGCTTTTTGTTAGATACAAACTTAATGACATGAACTCTATTTATACTTAATGTCACTCACTTTAGAATAGCGCCAACATATTTTAATCCTATGGCTACGACTCTATATAATTCTTATTTACCTTCTAGTACAAATGTAACACTCGGTTTTAAATCTGTTGTAATGCAACAATTATGTGGGAGACAAAATTCTTATTTATCTTCTAGTACAAATATAACACTCCGTTTTAAACCCGTTATAACACAACAATTAGGTGGGAGATAGAGAGAAGAAAATCAAACAAAGTAAGGGAGCGTCAACAATGGAACATCTAAGCCGAAGCACCGATCGATGGAAAAGATGAGGGTGGCATCCCTATTCGAGAGCTATAGTGCTAGCTATCAAGCCCAAGGGCATTGAAGCAACCTGAAATGAGAAGAGAAAAAGGCGTCATGGAGCGAGCCCAAAAGTTTTGAGAGACAAGGGTTGTCTCAAACACAAACCATTTGGGAGACGCATTCAACAAACTGAAATGGTGAGCAGGAACATGAGATCTATTTTTGTACTAGCTTGGAGCAACAAACACAATAATCAGAGTTG